ACATCAGAAAGATAAGATTTCACATTTGGAATAAACTCCCATTCTTTTCCCCAATGAGGTCTATAGTAAATAAATTTGACAATTAGTTAATAAAATTTGCTGTAAAAAAAAATATTAGATTATTCCTTACTTTGCTTTGTACTTATCAAAATATCTCTGCGCAATTAGTTGTGCAAATTCTTTCCATCCAGGAGTATCAAGAACTGTTACAAAATCCAATTGACAATACAAAGTTTTTGGATCATGATTGAAAACATTAGATAATAAAGCATCGGTTGATTTTATGATTCTAATATACAGAAAAAGATTTATTGGAAAAATTCCTTTTTTTGCAAATTCATATAACTACAAATACAATAAGATTATTATAAGGAGAAATGATATTCTAATAGAATATTAGAAGTAGAATATCAGATGAACTCACTGTTTGGATTGTACGAAACAATTCGGCAACGAAATTGGAAAGATTCGAATCAACTTTGAATCCAAGAGCCATAAAATGAGCCTTGACGTTACTTACAGCAACAAGAAATGGATTGCATCAGGAGCTTGAAATACATAACTAGTATTAGCAATACTAATAGCATTTCTTAACATTGTGCCAGTAATATTCGGAGTTGCCTCAGGATTTTGCAAGAGACTAATTAGGAGCTCAGACTGGCGAATATCATCCTGTTTGTGAGCTTCATTTAATTGTTTGATCTGTTGTTGTGTGAAGTTCACAGATTCATCGGTTCGTACCCAATTAATAACCCAGAATAGATCTCTATTAGGATCAAGAGGATTCGGATCACTCTGATTGAATCCAGTGAATGGCAGATAAATTATATTAATGCCATCAGCTGATTCTAAAAGATTTTTGATATACTTTGGATTCAATTCGTTTATTGGAATGTAGATGTTATCCTTACGAATATTGTACATCGGTTGTACGCGAAAAGTCAACGAATAGATTATACCAAGTAAACCTAAACAAAATAAAGTTAGTTGGGAAAGAAAAGTAATAATCAAAAGTAAAAACCTAGTAAATACCTAAATTGACTTTTGCGGCATTGAATTCTGATTTGTTTATTTCGTCACTAAATTCACATACTTTGCCAGACCCGGTGACAATTTGCATAGAACAAAGTTGATCTGCCATAATACCTGAACTGGTCTTTGTACCATGAGCTCCTACTGCTATAACACCAGATACTCGCAAATTGTCAGGTACAGTTTCAGATTCAAGAGTCAATGGCGGATCATGATTTCGGAGTGTTTCATCAAGTTCAGATAATGATGTACCTATTTTTAATTAGATAATACAAACTTTATCATGAATAGATATATATTCAGATCTCTATAAATGTAATTGTTCTTATTGTTCTCTAAATGCAAACTATCAGCATTTAGAGTACTTAGGAAAGTTTGACTGTATATATATATATATAAACATTTACCTGCTTCGGCAGTAACAGTCCAGCCATACTTTGGATGTTTTTGCACAGTAATCTGATTTAAATTTGTAACTACTACTAGATAGTTTTCTGTGACAGACAGGGAACTTTCTGTATGCCCTTGGGCAGCGCATCGAATAGTTTTATTATTTGTCTTTGCTAGTTTTACAATTTCTATAAGGTCTTCAAGCGTAGACAGTTCAAAAATGGCATTTGGTGAAATATGAATTTTTCCATTCCAATTTTCCCATGTTTTATTTTCGATCGGTTTTACAGAATGAGTTACGAAATCTTCGTTAGTGCTGACTGTGACAAACTTATAAATGATCAAAATTAGTAGGATTGGTAAAAAATTTAAAATGCGCTTCACGATCATTATAAATAATCAAATAGGTGAGGCCAAAAGTATATTAACGTCGAAAGGATCTCTTAACAATATCTAGAATCATTAAAAAAAAAAGATAATATTTATTAATCAGATGGTTTTATCTTGTTATAAGGAGAGATTATAGCTCTTTTATTCTTTCTTCACAATCTAACATGTTTAAATTTTAAAGTCCTCACGAAACGAATGCGGTAAACTTTTTTAAAAAAAAAACAAATTTTAAAAATTATTAACTTCTGTAGTACATGCATAAAGTCAGTAATCTACATGTGGCTTTTCTGCATCTGCTCAAATTTAAAAGTTATTTAATGTCGTGTAAAAATAGGAACCGACGGAATTTTTTACTATACAAATTAGCAATTATGACTGCATATCCTTAAATTTTATTAATTACAATTTAATTTGCAGATCATTAGAGTGCGATATGTAAGGTAAATGGGGGTAATTTGGCGCACTTAAGAATTGCTAATAGTAAATGTCTTTTTAAAAAAGCCGAATGCTTACAAAATTTATAGAACTTATACCTTCACTCATGTATTTTAATTAAATAAAAAAAACAAAGACAACTTTTATAATAAGGTATAAATCATTTTATTATTTGTTTAAAACCATCAAAAAAAGTGAGATTTTAATTTTGGAAGGTAATTTGGCGCATTGTCCCTATTGATTATTCAACCAAATATCACCTAGCCTAACCAAAATGTAACCGTTACCATTACACAAATGCAACATAATATCACTTACTAATGCTCTTGGGCATCTTATTTTTTTTTTTGTCATTCACTTGTTTTTTCTAACTTTTTCAACTCACGCTTGGCTTTTTTTTTGAGCAGCCACTTTTTTTTTTTGAGCAGCCACTTCTTTTTTTTAAGCAGCCACTTCTTTTTGTTTGTAATTGTAAGCATAATTATCTAAAAGTTAATCAGTCTTTGTGTTTTTCTTCATTAAGAGGCATGCTATTTATCACATGATATTTTTTACTTAGTAGCCACCCCATCCATGTATGGTGTGATCACCCCTAACTTGATTCTAATTGGCCAATTTAATTAATTATTAAAAAACTTCTTAATATTTTTAAAATTAAATAATTTTTGATCTACTGGTTCGTTTTAGATGATTTAACTGTCAAAATGTTCGTCTTGATGAGACAATTCTAATGAATTCAAAATTGCTAAAATTCAATTACAGAATCTTGAGATCATTATGATTTTTTGTATTATTTTATATATAATAAAATTAATTTTATTATATACGAAATAGTACAAAAAATCTTAACGATCTCAAGATCCTGTGATTGGATTTTAGCAATTTGGGATTCATTAGGATCGTCTCATCAAGACGAACATTTTGACAGTTATATCATCAAAAACGGACCAGTAGATCAAAAGGTATTCAATTTTAAAGATTTATAAAAAATATATATTATATATTTTATTATATTTGATTATATACTATATTATATATATATATATGTATGTGATCACCTGCCTGACCCATGTATCCATGGTAAAAATTATGTGATAAATGGCACGCCCCTAAATTGTAATTGATAATTTTAATATATGATCACGATTATATTTAAATAACTTCATAAGAACATTTGTTTTATTTAAAAAAAAAAATCATACAAAAAAATAAAATTAAATAACAAAACGTTTATACACAAAATGAATATCAATCTTTAAACTGTGACCAATACTAAAGTTATACTAAAATCTAAAAATCCAAACCCAACAAATTTAACCAAGTTGTTTATGAAAACACAATTAAAGCTGCTCTTAATAAATTCACCAGTCCCCAACATTCTAGTATATGTGTAACTGCTTTAAAATTCAGAGTTGCAGAATCAACTTTAAGATGTGTACCAAAAATAATAGTGTACTCAACTGTTCTAGCTATCCCACAGTCTTAAGTAGCCACGAAGAAACACAACTCATAGGCTACTGTCTAAATATACAAAGTTTAGAATTTGGTTTAATACGATCTGGTGTAAACTATTGTGTAATGGAAATTATATATAGTTCTAATCATAAAAATCTTTTTAATAACAAAGGACCTGGTAGGGACTGGTGAATACGCTTTATAAGAGAATATCCAGAACTCTTTTTTCAAGTACCTCAAGCCTTATCTAAGATATGACACAATGAGCTAACCCTGTAATTATAAAAGACCACTTTAATAAACTCGAAAAGATTATTAAAGAAAATTCACTTACTGCAGACTAAATATGGAATATGGATGAAACCGGTTTCATTCTTACTTCCAAAGTTCAAAGGTTCTTGCTAAAAAGGAGTCTTATCAAGTTCACAAAATTACTCACAGCAATATGCATGAGCACATTTCTGTTATTCCAACTATCTCAACTGCCAGAAGTTATATACCACCTTTATTTATTTATAAAGGTGTTCATGCAATTTCTGGTTTGCTAACTGGAGCACTACCCAGTAGTATTATGTGCTTTAC